AACACAGTAATTAAACTTTCCTTAAAAAAGAGAATATGATGAGCTCAGAGAAAGGGAACCTCTCCATATAAAGAACGTGAGACTGGCTGGATGCAGTAGCTGACACCTGTAATCCCAATACTTTGGGAGGCCAAGGAGGGCAGATCACCTGAGGCCAGGAGTTCTAGACCAGCCTGGCCAACATAGCACAACCCCGTCTCTACTAAAAATACAAAAATTAGCCTGGCATAATGGCAGACACCTGTACTCCTAGCTCCTCAGGGGGCTGAAGCAGGAGAATCCCTTGAACCCTGAATGTGGAATTTGCAGTGAGCCAAAATCGTTCCACTGCACTCCAGCCTGGGCAACAGAGCAAGACTCTATCTCAAAAAAAAAAAAAAAAATGAGACTGTGAACCACTAATTGCTAATACTGATCATTTATCCCCCCAGATGAAGAGCATGATCTAGAAGAGGATGAGAGTGGCACTCGACGAAAAGGAGGTATAAGAGCTTCTAAATGCACAGGCACTGGGTAGGACATTATGGGGTTCTGATTAGAGAAAGCACCTTTCTCTGAGACTATAAAAATTACTGGACTCAATAATTAAGAGGGTATCTGTGTGTGAACCCCAAAGCCCCAAATAAAGTGACTGGGAAATACCTAAACTTTAAAAGCAGCCATCCATTCACTTTAATTAATGTTCCCAGAACAACCAAGATTTATCCTAGAGAGGGTGGGAAGCCAAACCAGATATTTATTTTTTCCTATCAGTATTTCTTAAATCAGTACAGTGAAAATAGAATTGCCTCAATCTCTAAGAGATCAGAGGATTGAGAACGGAAAGAATGGAAATGTCTCCTCTCTGAGAGGCCCAGAGATTGCAAGTTCAGAGGGAAATGGAAATGTGTCAGATCTGAAAAGTGAACACGGGGTGAAAGATAGAATTGCTTGGTGATGCTGACTTCTGATGGCCTGGTTTGATTCCAGGCACATTTGGAAATGAATATGTAACAGGTTTGTTGAATATAAAATTACATCTTATTCATCCCAGACTGTTAACCATGCTTCAGGCTGTTAGTGAGCCCATCCTTTCAAAGGTCAGATGCCCCTCTGAAGCCTCCTTAAGTGGACCAAGGACCTAGTCCATGGTTGTCAGTAAAGGAATGCTGCACATTGCAAGGGCCACCTCAAGGACATTCGTTCCATCAGCAGAGCCCTAATCATGACTGATTTAGATACTGGCTGATATTTTTCTTAGGGAGTCTATGAAAATCTTAAGCCTAGGAATTCTTGCCCTCTTTCTCTCCCTGCTTCTTCTCCGTTATCTGGCCCTGTCTTTTCCCATTCTCCTCTCTCCTTTCCTTGTGCTTTTTCTTCTCTTCCTTATCCATCCAGCAAAATCCCCATTTCTAGGTTCATTCTCTACAGAAAGTGAACACTTAAAAGGTTCAGGACTCAACTTCCTAAGAGTCCAGCTTCTCCTAGGGAAGAGAAGAGACAACGAAGATGCAGCCTCAGAAGTCATGTGCCAAAGCAGGAGAGAAAGAAAGCAGGAGAGGCGGGTATGGAGGTATGTGAGTGTAGCTGCAAGTACCTCATGATAACGAACACATGTGATTAGGTCCATTCTGAAACCTGTTTCCTTCTATTTTCTACTTACTGTACAGAATTCCAAATGAAAATCTGTTCTGACCCACCCATGTTCCACATATATCTTTTCTCAACCAACTTCTATCACCAGTGCAGAAAAGAAACGCTTCATGTGGACAGCTTGGGTGGAGTAACTGTAAGCTTCCTATGGCCAATTTCATATTAAACTCCGTTCAGGAAGCATCGGTCTTTTAGCACAGTCTAGAATCCAGTTTCAGATTCCTCCCTCATCTCATTTCCTCCTTCCACCTCTTTCTCTAAGGTTATATCTGGGAGGTGAAAGGAGCCTTATTTCTTAACTGTTCCTACAACTATAATTCAAATAGGTTTTAAAAAAAAAAAAAAAAAAAACCCTTTTGTTCCTCATGCTTCCTGCCTCCAAAACAAGTGTTGTTAAAGTACAGCAAGCTCTGAATATGATTCTATGGTTTACACTTCCCACCAGTTATGATTGGTGACTTAGTGATTAAAAAACAGGAGGACTTTTTGCTCTCTCTGCAGAATCTGAGGCAGGAATTTTTATTATTTGTGTTTACTTATTTATCGATTGATTTTATATAGTGCCTTATCTCCAAAGGCACTATAGAAACGGTGAAATATATATAAATCCAAATGTCATCATTTAGTTTTGTAACAATAAAAGATAGAGGTCTGGGGGAAGGGCAGGCAGCCCCAGTGAAGGCATTTAAAAGGCAGGGAGCTCTAGGACAGTGTGAATTCCTATGTCATAGACAAGCTACACAAGTTTGGGCTACTTAGTTTTTCTCAGGTGCGTGTTTTTTTGTTTGTTTGTTTGTTTTTTGAGACAGAGTCTCGCTCTGTTGCCCAGGCTGGAGTGCAGTGGTGCTATTTCTGCTCACTGCAACCTCTGCCTCCCGGGTTCAAGTGATTCTTCTGCCTCTACTTCCCGAGTAGCTGGGATTACAGGCACGTGCCACCACGCCTGGCTAATTTTTGTACTTTTAGTAGAGACGGGGTTTCACCATACTGGCCGGGCTGGTCTGGAACTCCTGACCTTAGGCAATCCGACCGTCTTGGCCTCCCAAAGTGCTGGGATTACAGGCATGAGCCACCGTGACCAGCCTTTTCTCAGGTGTTAACATGCTTTTGGGGAGAAAAAAAAATTTAAGCAAGCTGACCTTTCCCTTCTTCGTTTTTTCCCAAAAGATGCTATGGCTAGCAGAGTTACTTTTAAAATCCAAGTACTTTTCTCCAGCCTCGATGGATCCTGTTCCTTGAATGCTGTGCTTTTTTCCCTGATGGAATTGCTAACATTCTTAAGGCCCAACTAGATCTTATCAGAATAGTGGGGGAAGGGATTCAGTTCATCCTTATTGAGTGTTAATGACCCTGTAAGATGTAATTTCTTTTATTTCATTCTGTTACCTAGAAAATCTATCACAGCCTTGTAGTATTGATTGCTCAATCTATAAAGAGCTCAGTTTACAGCATAACTGTTAGTAACAGGGTTATTTTAATGAGTGACTCTTCAACACCTCAGAGTTTCACTAAATTCCAACCCATCAGCCCAATAGTCTAACACTAAGGGTCTTAGGTAATGAGTTTATCACCTTTCCTTATCATGAAAAGGTAACCTCCAGGTAACCAAAAATGAAACTTCCTCTGTGTTCGTTTTTATAAAAATTACGGCCATTTGTTTGCGTATGCTATGTCAAATAAAAAGCAACCCTGGAGGCACAAATTATCCTTAGATACATAAAATCCTTGACCAAGGAAAACCTGAAACAGACCCCTCCCACCCTACCTCCCTCAGTCTGCCCCCAACCCCAACTCTGAAATTGTGGGCACACTAAGCCAAAAGTAGACACAGATCACACTGTTGTGGTCTTATAAGCAAACGATTACTTTCAAGAGGGCCAAAAAATGGTTGCTTATACCACTCCATCTTTGAGGCCCTCTTCTCACTTTAGGCTTACCAATAGAGTGAACTACTACATGAAAGAAACAAAGGGAAACCACAGAGGTGTTTGCAGCTCTTACCTTTTGAAGCCTGTTTTCCAAGACCAAACATGAGCTGATTATCAACCAGCTAAAATTTTGGCCCAATGAAAAGAGTAAATGACATGAAAATCAGAATCTGAGTGTACTCCACTTCCAAATCATACTTATAACACTAGGATCACAGTAATTTCAAAACTCAAGATTAAAGCACTATGAAATAAGTAAATGATATTATCCAATTGCTCTTCCTCCTCTGGTGCCACAGTCAGTGAGGGCTTGGCAAATATTTTCATAGCTTCCTTCCAAAATAGTTTATAAACTATCAAGGCTGGGCGCAGTAACTCACATCTGTAATTCCAGCACTTTGGGAGGCTAAGATGGGAGAATTTCTTGAGCCCAGGAGTTTGAGATCAACCTGGGCAACAAAACGAGATCCTGTGTTTTCAAAAAATTAAAAAGATTAGCTGGGTGTGGTGGCATGCACCTGTAGTCCCAGCTACTCAGGAGGCTGCAGGGGGAAGATAGTTTGAGCCCAGGAGTTCGAGGCTGCAGTGAGCTATGATTGTGCCACTGCACTTCAGCCTGGGTGACAGAGCAAGACCCTGTCTCAGGAAAAAAAAAAGAAAGAAAATTATCAGAGTTTACTTGAATGGACTGAACATGTTGGACCTTTCTGACCTGGCTTAAAGAACATTTTAAGTTACTTCCAAAGGGTCACTACTTTGGCGTTTTTTGTCCAAGTCTCACCATCCCACCATCCCATCCTCTCGTAGGACTGGCTTTATCCGTCTTCACGTTTTGTTTCTCTTTTCCATACCTTAAGAGGTTGTACTTAATGCCAGGCCTTATTGACACAATCATTTTAGTAATCAAGAAAATGTGAATAACTTGCTGGCCTGCCTTTAGCCACTTTTCCCTGGTCACAGCCTGAATTCTGTCACTACCCAGTGACTCCCAAACATAAGCTGAACTCTGGAAGGAACAGTCAGGTTTTATTGTCCCTAAGGAAAGAGAAAGGCAGAGAGATGTCCTGGTCCTCTTTACCTTAAAACTTTGCTCGTCGTAGAGGCTAATTTTCAGACATTGACTCTGTCACCAGTAGCACCAACTTGGCCTCAGTTACAAGAGAAATGACTGTTACTAGTTGTAAAGAACCTGGCATGCAATGACAAATGCTTTGCAATAAATAGAAAAAAGAAACCAATACTTTTTTTAACTTGGTCTGTTGCTATTCTTCTTATGATATTTTGGTTGCTTGGAGTTTAGCTTCCGTTACATAGGATAAAGAGAGTAAGATGCTGCTTTTTTTTTCTCTAGAAAAAGCCCTTCTCAGCTCTGCTAGCAATTTAAATGCAGTGATCATACCCATTAGCTTCTCTATCATTGTAATTGTTGTTAATTGTTATAACTGTTTTAGTTATTAGTGGTGTCATTATTGCTCTAGGTCCTCTGTCTGTTTTATGCTGAATATATTAGTGCTTTGCTTTTGAATTACCAGGCTTTATTTAGTGCAGAGTTACGTTTTTTGGAGAGACATTGAGAAATGCTGGCATTAAGCTTTATTCTTTTGTTTTTCATTCCAAATGGACAGACTGGAAAAAAAATAATTAGATGGAATAATGTCCTCAAAATGAGAATGAGGATGTTTTGAATTAATTAAATGGTCAGAATGCTGCACCATTTCTGATTTCAGACGCCTGCCAGAGTAGTGTAAGCCTAAAGGAATCTAAATCCAGACCATAGAGGCAAGCCTCACCCTTGGGCTCTCAGTTCCTCTCTCTGCTCTACAGGAATCAAAGTCAGCCAGGTGCAGTGGCTCATGCCTATAATCCGAGGTAGGCGGATGGAGGGAGGCCGAGGTAGGCGGATCGCCTGAGGTCGGGAGTTCAAGACCAGCCTGACCAACATGGAGAAACCCCCTCTCTATTAAAAACCCAAAATTAGCTGGGCAAGGTGGCACATGCTTGTAATCCCAGCTACTCGGGAGGTTGAGGCAGGAGAATCCCTTGAACCCAGGAGGCAGAGGTTGCGGTGAGCCAAGATCGCGCCATTACACTCCAGCCTGGGCAACAAGAGTGAAACTTCGTCTCAAAAAAAAAAAAAAAAAAGAAAAGAAAAGAAAAGAAAAGAAAAAGAAAAAGAAAAGAAATCAAAGTCTCCTGATGCATTATCTTGTTTATAGGATGAGTTGGGCAGGTTTATGGAGAAGCTGGACTAACCCTGCAGACTTCTGGGCTTTTAAGCTCTTGCTGGTGCCAAGCTTCAGGAATGCAGCCCTCCTCCAACTTATCCTTTCCCCTCTTCAAGGTCTTTAAATAACACCCACTTGGTCAGAAAAGCCTTTTCTGATCCCTCAAACTATGTTAGATTCCCTATTACACACAGCATCCTCAACTTCTCCTTTACAGACATATCATAATCATAAATAAACATTTGTGTAACTGTTTTTTCCATGGTGCCTCCCTGACTAGAAGGTACCCTTGAAAGGAGGGCTCATATGTGGCCAATGTGGGATTCCCAGTATCTAACACAGTCCCTAGCATTTAGTAGGTACTGTATACATGTCTGTTGGATGCTGAGAAATGAATTAGTGAAGTTGCATGCACACATAGACATAAATGCATATCACATGTGTATTTAACAGGAAGTCTGCAGTATGGAGTCATCTTGCCCAGCTAAGGAATTACCCCTCACTGATTTCCTTAATATAGAATACTTCTAGCTAGCTAGCAAGTTCAAACTTTTCCCAGTTTTTAGCCCTTCATTCTGCCTGTTTTTTGGAGCTGTTCTACTTCTGACAATCCCTATTCTTGGACTGAACTAAACCATCTCCTGGATTCCTGAACTCTTTTTTCTTTGGCCTTTAACATCAAAGACCTTTTCTATCTTTCTTTCTTTCCTGGAAGGCTTCTGTTTTTCTCCTAGCTTCTTGCTTTCCCTGTGATCTGTTGTGGTTTTAGAATAAATCTTTCTCCAGATATTTTCCCAGGCCTATATGTACCCAATGTCAAATCACTTTTTATGTATACACCAAAAAGGCACTCAGTATTAGGACCTATCCCACATCCAGGCACACAGTAGGAAACCATACTCCAAAGTGACTATCTGCTACACCAGAAAAGACCAAGATAACCTTGTTGGTCTCCTTAACACTCAGAAATATTGTTATGGTTTTAGAATCTGTTTTTTAAAAAATGGTTTTCTCTACCATTTTTACATATATAAATCCATGAAAAATATTGATGTCAATATCCTTTCATTCCTGAATTTAGTCAAAATCTTGGAGTGATTAATCAACTCCATTAAAATTGAAAATTCATAATATATCCTCTGGGAAAACTACTTTCATTTTTCAGGGATTGATATTTCTCTATTATTTCATGTACTTGTATTTCCAAAAATGTATGCTTTGTCTTTTCAATAGTTAACATATTTCTCCCAAAGTATTTTTCTTCTAAACATATTATCAACTCTGTGGCAGAATGTTTTCACAGTATTTATCTTGTTTGCTGCCCTCTGTTGTCTACTGCACACACAGACAATTTTATGTGTGAAGAAAATATGCCTGAATTTCTATACGGTTGACATTTTTACTTTTGTTTGCAGTATCTGAGTCTTAACTAAATAGTTATCTCCCTCCTCTGTTTTTGTACCCTTTAAGATTCCTACCAAAGTTCTCTTCCAGAGACATATAGGGATTTTGTACCTCTGTGTCTTTATTATTTAAATTGCTCATAAGTCAGGAACAAGTAGAAAAAAAGCAAATATAGGGAAGGTGTCTGTGCCCCTACTGCCCACTTGCCCTGTCCTCAGTCACCAGTACCATCACTGCTCATGGGAGGGTAAAATGAATAAAGGGAAAGGTGGAAATCTATAGAACAGAATCCCCCAAAGTCATGTGAATTTTAATTAGAACCCAGGACTCTTGACTCCCATCAATTGAATTTCATCTTTTGTAGGTGCTTTGTTCACAGCTCTGATACAGAGCACCCCAAGGAACAAGGAGCATCCCTGGTCTAGTGGGCATTAGCTCTCCTGCCATTCAAATCCCCAGATCCTCTCCCACTTCGTACTCTAGTGTTTAACCTTTCCGGGTAGAAGATCAATACAAATTCTTCATTGTTAAGAATCGATGGCTGTCCTGTGGCATCATTGCCATCTAGTTTTGCTGAGAAGCTCAGTAAATCTCTCCAGCTGCTTCTAAAGCTTGGTTTGTCGTCTTCAGTTGCTTTCATTTTTAATGCAGATCACTTTGGTTTCTGTTCCCCTGGGGCTTGCAGATAAATCTTGGCAGACATGTTCAGGGTCTACAAATGAGATGCTGGAAAAGGGCCAGCCCACCCGAATTTAGTTGTAATGGATGAGACACCCCCTTGGTTCCACTTAAAGACTGGGCTATTCGTTTCAGTATTTATTGGTGATTACTTCATATAGTACCTAGGTGGGAAGTTCCCAGGATAAGTTCCTATGGACAAAGGAGGCCGAAAAGTGAGCTGTGATCCAGAAGCCTGCTAGCTGACTCAGCCTTTCTTGTAAATAGGCAGAAGTCACAGATTTACTTTGATCCTTCAAATACATAATGAAGAGAAAAACTAGATAGTTTAGTTGCCCTGAATCAGGAAAGTCTAGCGGGAAACCTCTGCACTGCTTACTTACAAACCAAGTGAAAAATTACCTGCCTGATTTTCTTTTATTAATAAATAAATATATTTATCATATTGTTGAACGGCATCCTACTAGGAGTGATCTTTAAATATTTAATGTTAGTTAATGATCTCCTTCTCCCATAGTCCTTTGCTCATGCTGAGTGTTCGGCTGTATCTCATCTCAACTCCCCTTAATCTGAGGTTTCCTAGGGACAATATCAGAACCCTGGTTTCCATTTGCAGCAAAAACATGGGCTCCTTGGAAAAAATAGAGTCCTTTTAACTTTGATTTCTCCACTCTTTGATCAGCAGACTATGCCAGTTACTACCAGGGCCTATGGGATTGCCATGGTGACCAGCCAGATGAACTATCCTTCCAACGGGGTGACCTCATCCGCATTCTGAGCAAGGTAAGGACAGAAACCGTGGGGCTTGAATCGAAAGTCAATGTTTTCATTCTTGATTTAGTCACCATAAACAGAATTATTCCATGTCCTACCCTTCCCATGGCTCCCTCGTATATAAATTCCCATTTACTCATAATTGTTAGGAAAAGTTTTACATGAAATTCCAGATTCAGGAACCAATTTCACATTTAAAAATACAAGGCCAGGCAGGGCATGGTGACTCACGCCTGCAATCCTAGCACTTTGGGAGGCCGAAGCTGGTAAACTGCCTGAGCTCAGGAGTTCAAGAAGAGCCTGGGCAACATGGTGAAACCTAGTCTCTACTAAACTACAAAAAATTAGCCAGGTGTGGTGGCATACGCCTGTATTCCCAGCTACTTGTGAGGCTGAGGCAGGAGAATTGCTTGAACCCGGGAGGCGAAGGTTGCAATGAGCCAAGATCACGCCACTGCACTCCAGCTGGCGACAGAGCGAGACTCCATCTCAAAAATAAATAAATAAATAAATAAATAAATAAATAAATAATAAAAATAATAATAAAATAAAAAATGCAATAAAATTGGTATTATACCAAAACTATGCCAATCAAAATTTAATCTTTCTCAGGGACTTGTGCTTAAAGGCCATCACTATGTACATAATTTATTACCACATAATACTATTGAAAACATTCTGGCTAGGTAAGCTGCCTTCTTATTTCATTTATAGATAAACAAGACTGTAACATAATTATGCATGGGGGAGGAGTCAGAGCTAGTTAACTCAATTGGTTTCAGCAATTGCTGATAAGGCCAAGAGAGTGAATTCAATCCCACACAGGTCAGCTAACTTTATTCTCTTCCTCAGTCACAAGTTAACCCCTAGTTCCAGCTAACCATCTCACAAATAGTACTGTTGACCATAAACAAACTGGTTTTTTAAAAAAAGGGTGGATTATTACAGATTAATCACTGATGTGAAGAAGATTCAGAACTCATGGGCTACAGTTTGGGGGATCAGTAGCATCATGTTGGTAAAGAAAGACCATACATATTCTATGGGTGAGCTAAAATAATAGGCTCTGTCCCTAGCACTTATTAAAAAGCCCTCTCTCTATGCAGCCAATCAATCTCCACAAACACATTTTTGAAATAGGCACAACTTGCTCTTTAATTGCTGAGTATGTGGATTCCATAAGGGAAAACTAAAAACCCATTGGTTATTAATCTATCATTTATCGTTTATCTTTCTTCTTTTTTTATGTGTCAATATCTTTTATCTTTATTCTGTGAATTTTACTACCTTGGGAAAAGGTTCGTTTCGGTTTGAGATATACCATAAGCACCTTAGGAAACAGTCTAGGTCTGACCCACAGCACCTTTCCATGGTTCCAACAGAATCAGGGCCCTTTAAAAACGGACCCAATTCAAACCCAACCCTTTGTTTGCAAGACAGTAGGAGGCCTGCAGGCCTTGCTGAGGAGATCACAATCTTCTAGTGATTTCTCCTGGATCCTTAACTCAGTACCACCCTAGTGCCATTTAGGTGCAGCTCCAATACACCAAGAATAAATTGGAAGCAAAGAAGGGAGTGGACATTGGCCTGATTGGTATTTCAAATGCCCGAAAGCAAGGTTTGCCGTGTAATAGAATTTGTGTACATTACCACGCTGGCATTACAGGGGTAATCGAGTTATCCACTCAGGTGTGACCAGGCCTCTGTTTGCCCAGAGCCTGCAGGTGAACAAATTAACTGTTTACTTTGTCTGGAGGTGCCTGCAGCAGGAGGGGGGAAGAACAGAGCCAGACTGGCTGCTGGCCTTCTCTCTGTCATGATTATTTTGTTTGTTTTGCATGTCTTTTGCCTTTGTTAATGGCTTCTCACTGGGGGTCCCTTTCCTCTAGTTAGAAGGGGTTGTGCGGTGACCTGTCCTGCAGTATGGAGCTGTCTGTGGTTACAGTGGCTATTGTATTTTTAAGAAATCTCAAAGAACATGGGGAACCAACCCAATCTTAAAAAAAAAAACAAAACAAAAAAAAAAAACAATACCTCTTGCCCTTCTCTGTTACTTAAAGCTAACATAGGCCAGGCATGGTGGCTTACACCTGTGATCCCAGTATTTTAGGAGGCCGAGGCTTACACCTGTGATCCCAGTATTTTAGGAGGCCGAGGCGGGAGGATGCTTGAGCCCAGGAGTTTGAGACCAGCCTGGGCAACATAGCAGGATCCCATCTCTACAAAATAAAAAATAAACTAGCTGGGTGTGGTGGTACATGCTTGTAGTCTCAGCTACTCTGGAAGCTGAGCTGGGAGAATCACTTGAGCCCAGGAGCTCAAGGCTGCCAGGATTGCTGCCATGATTGCCACTGCACTCACCTGGATGGCAGAGTGAGACTCTGTCTCCAAAAAGAAAAAAAGAAGAAAAGAAAGCAAATATATCAGAGTTTAATTCAATGAGAATACCTCGCTGCCGTGTTTCTATCAGCTTCTTTCTCCTCTCTTCTGGAAGGTTCTGAGTCCATTTTCATCCTGTACCATTGTATTAATAGTAGCATATTTCTTCACCAAAAAGCTACACCAGCTGGCTCCCTTCCCCATGTTGCAAATCCCTGCGTATCAAAGGGGAAATGAGAAGTTAAGAGCTCAGCCGCACTTTCCCTCATGAAGCTGCATTCCAGTTAACATTGGTTTGGGGAGCATTTCAGTTTTGATTCACCTTTATTATATTACCTAATTCAATAATAGTCCTTGGACAGGAGGGAACCTTAAAAGGCCACCCAATCTATTCACTGCCTTGCTTCTAAGAAGCACAAATGAACAAATTCAGACAGATAGAAAAGGAGATTCCTCTACCATTCCCAGCCATCTGTCTATTTATAAGTTCAGTAGTGCCTCATCTCGGGAAGTTTCTCTCAAATGGATCCTAATTTATTCCCACTTTAGCCTCAGCTGCCTTCTTTTGTTGGGGTCTGTTACACTCTGCAGCTGTCTCTCACACCTGTAAGGACAGAACTGACCCAAGTTGAATTTAGTCCAGGAAAATGGTGTCTAGAAAGCTCTATTTTACTTTTCTTTTTGTCCAGTAGAAGCTCCGTTGGGCAAGAAGGGCCTGCTGTTTAGGAATCTGGGGAAATCTGTTTCCCTGAGAAACACAGATGCAGCTGTGTGCAGCTCAGCTTAACTGGACTTGTTTCCTCACCTGTTAAAAGAGAGAGTGGGGTTGGATAGCATCTAAGAATCCTTCTACCTCAGACATTCCCTTCTAAATATGGTGGGCCTGACACTGCAAAACTGCTAAAGAAGTTCCACACAAAAATGTGTTTTAGCTTTATTTATTCAGTTTAAACAAAAAAGAATTTTTTTTAATTACCAGCTCTTTTGTTTTCAGTTATCATAAATACATCTGGTTTCCCCCTCTCTATCTGATAAAAGTATTCTGAAAGGCAGAGTCCGGGGTGCGGAGGTTAGAGGATCTAGAAAGGGAGGTGAGATGGAGGTGGCGGGGGCGGGGGGGGGAATGAGGATGGAAGCTTTAGTCATAGGCTCCTGCTGCTCCCTGCTATTATCTTAACAGTCACCCCAGTATGATCCAACTTTGAATCTTAGAATCTTGGGACCAAACTCAGGAGAATCTTTTTTTTTTTTGAGACAAGAGTCTCGCTCTGTCACCTAGGCTGGAGGGCAGTGGCACGATCTCAGCTCACTGCAAGCTCTGCCTCCTGGGTTCACGCCATTCTCCTGCCTCAGCCTCCCGAGTAGCTGGGACTACAGG